CTTTTGTGTGCGTTGTGTTGTGTGTGTGTGTGTGTGTACCTTCATCTCTGCGGGGGCAGAGGGCACACTGCAGACCCCAGGCCTCACCATACAAACAGCAGCACTCAGTGAAGGTCAGCTGAGCTCCTAACAAAGGGCTCTGACACACTAGACTAGATGTGACGTGACGCCAACAGAAATTTAAGTTCTCATCTGAGAAAAACACAGACAAACGGACAACAAATAAGCTTTAAAAAGGTCCTAACATTGTCATTTTACACATCTGGCAACTTTTTTCCCCCCCCATTCTTAAAGGGACAGTTCACCAAAAAATGAAAATTCTGTCATCATTTACTCACCTTCATGTCGTTCCAAACCCATAAGAGTTTCATTTATCTTTAAAACACTATTTAAGATATTTTTAAATTAACCTCTGCGAGAGGTTTATTATTGCATGTCACACAAGTATGACCATATTTGATGAGCTCTATATATGTGTGTTGATGAACGTGTGAATAAAAGCCTAAATTAAATCTATTCATCATATTAAACTCTTTGATTCATATGGATTACTTTTACGGGGTCTTTATGAACTTTTTTTTTTTTAAACTGTGAAAGTTTTGGTGAATTGGACTTTCAATGGTGGGACAGAAATCTTTTATTTGTGTTTAAAAAAAAAAACTAAATTCTTATGTGTTTGGAATGACATGAGGGTTCATTTTTGGCTGAACTATCCCTTTAAAATGAAACTCTTGACATATAATTCATTTAAAAATATATACTAAAATGTATGCTAGTAAAATAAAATATAATTTCATTATAATAGGGACAAAAAATATTTAAAAAAATAAATTTAAATATGTCTTTAAACTGAACTCATCGTTTATCTAAAAATATTTAATAAAAATGTACAGAAGTAAAATAAAGTATAATTCCATTATTATTGGAGCAAATATATTTTTAAAAATAAAAATACACCTTTAAAATGAAACGCTTAACATATCATTTATATAAATATATGTAATAAAAACATTTATAGAAGTAAAATAAAATATAATTTCATTATCATAGGGACAGACATATTTATTGAAATAAAAATAAATTATCAATTTAAAATAAAATAAATGACATATAACATATATAAAAATATAAAAAAATGTATAGTAGTAAAATCAATTATAATACCATTGTCATAGGGAAAATATTTTTAAATAAAAAATAATCTCTTTAAAATGAAACTCTTAACACACACACACACACACATATGTATGTGTGTGCGGTAGAGGGTTAACATTATATCAGTTAATGAAATTACGGTATTTAACTGTAAATTTAAGTTAAAACCTAAAATGTTGCTACCGTATTTTTACGGTAAAATTCTGGCAATCACAGCTGCCGGTTTTTTACCGTAAATTTGATGGAATTTTTTTTACAGTGAAATATAATTACATTACCATAGGGACATTTTTTTTAAATATAAAAATGGCCCACATGAAATATTGGTGGTTACTAAATGTTATCAAAACCAGTGACAGTCAGAAAAGTTCATGCTGTAGTCTGTGTGTGTCTGTGCATCTCTCACCTTCAGCGAGGCCGCTTGCATTGACACAGTTGCGCTGTGTGTCGTCCAGCACTAGAGGGGGCTCACACGTACAGTAAAACGTTCCCAGTGTATTTACACACTGACCGCCAGTGCAGGTCTCCTCACTCTCACATTCATTATTATCTACAGGAGAGACAGAGAGACACACACATCACTGTCTGCTGATCTGACATCTATCCCAGCCGGCACTAGTGTTTTAAAGGCTGACCGATGCACTCCAGCAGATCCGTGTCGTAGTAGAATCCGCTGGGACAGTAACAGGCATAGCCGGGAATGTTGTTGACACACACGCCGCCTTTACACACCTCCGGATCAAACAGCTTACACTCATCCACATCTGTCCGGAGGCCAACGCACTCAGATTAGAAACAGCAACTACTAGAGACTACTAGAGTCTGTCCGTGCGTGAGTTTTACCCTTGTAGCTGAACGCTCCCGTTTCCATGGTGACGTACCCTCTTCCACTGGGACACAACGACTGGAAGTCCGCTGAACGGAGAGATATTGATGAGGAGGGAAAAGTGAGAAACTCATGCTGGTGGAAAAGAAGTGCACTTGAATGTGCGCTTGTAATGTGCTTCAAATCTTAAAAGTATATTTTTAAAACTGTGCTTGCAGACAACATGATATTAATGAAATTGAAGCACACTTAGAGACACTTACTAACATACTAAAGCACATGCAAAGTACTTAAAGTTAATGCATTTTAAATGTACTAAAGTGCAACTTAGATAATGTGTAGATCTATTAACTTAGATAAACTTAGAAGTTAATAGAAGTTACATTAACATATATTTTAATTTAAATTTCAAAGACAATAGAATTATGAAATTACATATAAAGGTGTACTGAAGTCCTACTTAAGTGGGTCAAAAACACACTCTTAAGTTCAACTAATTGCATTTAATATAAATTTAAACTATAAAATCTTCATTAAATAAAATGCAATTAAGTGTCCAAAACATTGTATTCAATTTATTATTATATTATTATAGTTAACCAAAAATAAAACTGAAACTGAAATTTAAAAAATAAATAAATAAAAAAAAAAAAACATTTTCGATACTTAAAATAAAATAAACGTTAACTGAAATAAAATAAAATATTTAAAAAACGTTCTTTCAGCTAGCTGCTAAGGCAATATTTATAATTTTAATTTATTTTAACGATGTACTAAAATAACTAAAACTTCAACTGAAATAAAAATTATTAGAAAATATATAGACACTAAATAAGACATCATAATCTGGTGGCATAAAGGCCAAAAATGACAAAAACACAAAACAAAATTTTTAAAACTAAAAATTTTACTTAATGAAATCAACTAAAATTAAAATGGAAAATAAAAACATTCAAAATATTAATAAAAACTATAATAGTATTTCAATGACACTAAAATAACAGAATCGTTCACATTTAAGTACATAATTTTAAAGTATATTATTTCCATAATAAGTACTTAAAAGTATGCTAAAGTGCACTTCTTTTTCCCAAGGCCAGACTCACTTGATGCAGCATTTCTTCAGTGTTAATGTGTGTTTGTTCACCTGTTCCAGTCTCGGGACAGACGTCATATTGGCACATGAGGCCCCAGCCCTGTCCCGCTGTACAGCAGCACTCCTGCAGCGTGGTGTTTTGGGCCAATATCTTGCAGGAGTACGGCTCAGATACGCCATAGTAACACTCTCTCGTTTCTCCAGGTCGAGTCTGCGGCAGAGAGCCGGACGATCCAGACGAACCGTGGCCGGCTGAGGAAGAGGAGTCTCCGCCAGACGGCCCCGACCGACCTGCAGCGAATCCACACACAGTAACACTTTATTTTAAGGACCAATTCTCACTATTAGCTAGTTGGTTTTTAGCAGTAAAAAAAAAACAACAACAAAAACAAAAACTGCACTTGCAGATAATATTACTTAAATAAAAGGCCACTTAAGTCACTTAAAGAGAGACACTTTCATGACGTTTTCTTAACATACTTAAGTAGAATTTAAAATTCACTTTGTAATGATGTAAAAAACACTGTACTGTAAAGTATATTTTAAATCATTATTTTTAAATAATATTTTGTATAATATTTCAAAAGTAATAGAAGTAATTATGAAATGACATATAAAGATGTACTGAACTCCTATTAAGTGGGTCAGTAAGCACTCTTAAGTTCAACTAATTGCATTTAATATAAATGTAAACTATAATACATTAATATTTATTTGTAAATAACACGCAGTTAAGTGTCCAAAAATTCACACTCAATTTACACTTAAGTATATTGTTTTAAAGTACATTATTTCCATAATAAGTACTCTTTTTAAAGGTATTTTAAAGTGTACTTAAATATTTCCAAGGGATAATATTCTTTCAATTAAAAAAAAAAAGAAGGTATCGCTAAACATAGTTCAATTTAAATAAAAGTAGATTATTTGCCTAGTATTTGCATGAGGATTGTTACTTGTATGACACAGAATTGCTGCCTATGTAGAGAGTTACATCGGTCACTTAGAAGGCTGCTACCTATGTAGGCAGCGGAAAGCCAAGCAGCTGACTTGTTTTTGGAACAAAGGCATTGTGTTTGTTGTTATATTGTTTGGTATGCACATGTTTATGTTATATAAGGTGCCTTTATCACAGCAATATAAAGTAAACGTATTAATACTGTTATTATTTTCATCATCATCATCATTATTGGCAGTAGTTATAGTATTACCAGTAGAGGGCAGCACTGAAACAGAAGGTCCATTAGTGTGTGTGTGTGTGTGTGTGTGTGAGTGTGTGTGTGTGTTACCTGCGCTGTCTCTGTTCACACACTGGCCTGCGAGCGGGTCGAATTCCTCCTGTCTGTTCTCACACTCACACGTGAACGAGCCCTCGACGTTCCAGCAGCGCGCAAAGCCACACACACCCTGCATCGTCTCACACTCGTTTATGTCTGCGCAGAAAGGGACACACAGACTTTCTAAGAATAAACGTAACTTTCTCTTGTGAAAAAGAAGTGTGCTTAATTTTACTGAATGTGCACTTGCACTGCACTTCAAATCTTAAAAGTATATTTTCTTAAAATAAATACTTTAAATAAAAAGGCCACTTAAGTGAACTTAAAGAGAGACACTTTCATGACTATGTTTCTTAGCACACCTAAATACACTCTTAAAAAATAAAATATAATTTTAAAATGTTTAAAAAAATTAAAAAATTTTTTAAAAGTTTTATTTTAAAGTATCATGACCACAATAATCCCCTTGAATTATTCATTAGTAGCCAATTTTTAATACATTAAATTTTTATTTTAATTAAATTGTGAGCACGTTGTAATAATTTGTTCCCACATTTATTTTATTTTATTTTATTTTATTTTTTATTTGTTTTTATACACAACATATGGAAGACAATTTAAAAATAATCCTCACCACTTTTAATTAGTAAACATTTGTAAAATCTTTTGTTCCCTCGTTTTAAATAAATTGTGGGCACATTATACTATTTTATTTTATTTTATTTTATTTTATTTTATTTTATTTTATTTTATTTTATTTTTATTTTATTTTATTTTATTTTATTTTCCACACGACATGTGGAGGGAAAAAAAAAATATTGTGGCCACAATTGAATAATTATTCCACACTATTTATTAATTTGTGGTTGTGTTGTACTAATTTGTTCCCTTGTTTTATTTATTATATTTTATTTATACTAAACCCCACAAATGACATGTAAAAGAATAGAAAAATAGATATATGGCCACTTAAGTAGCCTTTTAAAAAGTGCACTTTGTAACAATGTCAAATTAAAAGTTTTACTTTAAAGTACATTTTAAATCCTTAAAGTTTATTCATTTTTTTCTTGTGCTTTTAAGTACACTTATTTTGATGTGTTGACTAACATACTAAAGCACATTAAAAGTGCTTGCATATAGTTTTAACTGTAGTGTGATATATATTAAATTTAAAGTTAATATATTTTAAATGTACTAAATTGCAACTTCATCATTACAAATGTGTAATTACAAAATGAAATTACATATAAAGCTGTACTGAAGTCCTACTTAAGTGGGTCAAAACAGCACTTGATCCACTTAAGTAGTTAATTTTAAATTGAATTTAATATAAATTTTAAATATAAAACATTTTCATTTAATTGTAAATAACATGCAATTAAGTGACTGGAAATCTTACATGAAGTTCACACTTCAGTAAATTCTGTTAAGTATATGTTTAAGTGTAAGTATGAAGTATACCATTTCTGTAATAACTCCTCTTTTTTAAAGCATGCTGAAGTGCACTTGTTTTCCTGCAGTCATGGACTCACCCACACACATCTGTCCGTCGCCGGTGGACTCGTAGCCCTGGTCACACAGACACTGATACGTGCCGATCAGATTCTGGCAGAAGGCGTGATGTCCGCACACCGTCTCGTTAGCGCACTCGTTAATGTCTGCGAGAGAGAGCCCGCTGTCATTCTGCACGTGTGTGTGTGTGATTTAGCGTCTGTCAGACTCACCCACACACTCTCCGGAGGCGGTGATGTGGTATCCGGGCTCGCAGGACGCGTCACAGCGGAACGAGCCGATGGTGTTCTCACAGCGCTGGGATCCACACATCCCTCTGAGTGAGTGCAGACACTCGTTCACATCTGCAGAGCAAACGCAGCAGCTCAGATCTGCCTACACACACACACACACTCATCCATGCATGACGGCAGCGAGTGTGACACAGCTACAATTTACTCGCCGGATGGGAGCTTCTGCTATTAAGGTCACATTTTAAGCACAAATAAAGCAAAGGGAAAAAGATGAAAACAATAATTCTAATTTCAAATTATAATAACTTTAAACTTTTTATTAGGTCTCTCTAATGACTTTATCATTTTTTTGAGAGTGCTGAAAAGTTTAATCTGCTCAGATTTTAGTTTCCACTCAATAGGAAATAAAAAAGTGATAAAAAAATAAAGAAAGAAATTCTACTGTGCATGTGTTTATCAATTTTATATATGCATTTTATTATTCATTCCCTGGTTTTAAGTTAGTTAAATAATTTAGTTAAATCACTAGTTTAATTTAATTTAAAATCATTTCCATATCTTTTTTATTTAATTTAAATATATTTTATGGCCACATTTTGCATTTTTTATTTTTTTTAACGCCATGTTAGGATCAAGGCTATTTACATGGCAAAAACAAGGTCAGCATCATAATCCATACAATTTTAAATTATTAAATAAAAATTAAATTAAATTAAATTAAATTAAATT